AAAAAATTCACAATAAGTTTTGCAAATTTTACACTTGGAGTTAAGAAATGTGCTAGTAATATTGCCTCTAGATCTGAATTAGGAAGATTTCCCTTTTTTTTGTTTCATTGCCACACAGTCACTTTTATATGAAGACCGACTTTTGAGTGAAAACTCATCTGATTTACTTAAAGAGTGTTACTCTCTTTCTAAATCACTTCATGATCAAGGTATATACTCATGGTACTCATATGTAAATCATATTAGGTCCGATAATAATAATAGCAAACCCAAAGATGTCACTAAAAACAAAAACGGAGACTGTAAGAATTTCAGTAAAAAATTCTATAAAAATGAATTTCAGCAAAGATATAAAGAAATATATGACAATAAAATATCATCTCTCGACCAAAATAGCAAACTTCTTCTGTTTAAGCATATAAAAGCTGAATATAAACAAGAATTTTATTTGACATACCCGAATCTTGATACAAGAAAACTTATGTGCAAATTTAGAATAAGTGATCACTCCCTCGCTATTGAAACTAGAAGATATAAAAATATTCCACGCCCTCAAAGACTTTGTAAACAGTGCAAAGCTCTGGATGATGAATCCCATTTCTTTTTAATATGTAAAATAAATGATGATTTAAGACATGTCTTTTTTGATGATTTAAAAACAAAATACAAAGATTTTTCTGATAATAAAATGAAATATATATACTAAATCCAACCACTAGTCAGCAAGTGAAATCTTTAGGCTCCTTTATTAAACAGTCTATGGAACTGAGGACAGGGGGCACTTGAGGTCATTTGTTGTGTTTAATGTTTTGGTTTATTTTTATTTTTTATGTAAATTTTAATGTCATCATTATATTGTTGTTATTACATGTAATTGTCATGCCTTTGGCCCTCTTATGGGTGTAATTTGTGCTTAAATTAATAATTTTTCGCAATAGTTAAAAAATATTGCCAGTTATATTAAGGTGGTGCTTAACTTTTGGCGGACTGTATATATGAAAGGGTATGTATAACTGTGTGTGCCCTACTCACACTTTTCCTTGTTGTATTGTTTTGTATTTTGCTGCAGGTTGAATGTTTTTTCTATCTGAAACCATATGGATATCCTCATTACTTTGTATAATTGCTTAATCTGAGTAATCTGATCTATTTCATTAAACGCTCATCGTTACAGATCATGCGATGCGATAAAGTTTTTCGTCCTTTTTCACACCTATATATCATCATCACATATTCATCTACCTTATTCTATAAGATTTTTTTCAATTTGATAAGTTGTCAAATCAAATTTATCTTTGATCATGCATAGTCATGCATGTACTTTGGTGAATCATCCACAAATACACGTGATATTACACACAAAAATAAATCAAGTATAGATGTATGTATTCTAGATATACAATATAAGTACATTTCGGGGCCTTTTAAAGCTGACTATGCGGTATTGGTTTTGCTCATTGTTGAAGGACGTACGGTTACCTATAGTTGTAAATTTCTATGTCATTTGGTCTCTTGTGGAGAATTGTCTCATTGGCAATCATACATTTGTACCACATCTTCCTTTTTTTATATTGTTGGAAAATATAAAATTTGTTTGTATTAAACTGCTTCGAAACAGAAAGACAAACTCGGCGAGCATCGCTTCTTGTCCTGTTTCATAGCGAGTACAAATAAATTGTATATTTCAGACAATGTACATATATTGTTTTTATCTTGCAATTTACATCCGCTCTTTAAGGTTTAGTTGTTTAAATCCAAATAGTTGTCTCGAATTTTTCAAACAAAGCGACATAGTTTTAAGTAAAATATTGTTTATATGCGTGTTCTAGTTAAGATTAGATTGTAAGGCGATGCCGAGATATTTTGCAAATGTAAGTGATTCAAGAATGCGATTGTGAAAGATTTAAATCAGCATGCAAGTATTTTGTGTGAGAAGGTATGATTGGTACATTTAACGGGGGCGAAATGTCATGAGCCTTCCTATTGCTCAGTCCAAATTAAGTTGTAATTTATGACAATCTTGACCGCTCACTAACATGTTTATTCACGCCACATTCTGTTTGTGCTATCCTATGTCAGAAGCCAGAAATTCAGTGGTTGCCGTTGGTTGTTTTATTTGTTTTTCATTTATTATTTTGTCATAAATCAGGCCGTTGCTTTTTTCATTTGAATTGTTTCGAATTGAATTGTTTCACATTTTCCATGTCGGGACCTTATATAGCGGACTATAAGTAAATTTTACTCATTGCTTAAATTCACGTCGTTTGGAATCTGGTAGATTACTGTCTCAATGACTATCATACCACATCTCTTTATCTAATATTATTGATGTTTAACATTGACCCAATTCAGATATCGGTACATACACAGTTATTTTTATGCCCCACCTAGGGGCATTATGTTTTTTTGGTCTGTGCGTCAGTTCGTCCGTCTGTCCCGCTTCAGCTTAAAGTTTTTGGTCGCTTCAGGTTAAAGTTTTTGGTCAATGTAGTTTTTGATGAAGTTGAAGTCCAATCAACTTGAAACTTAGTACACATGTTTCCTATGATATGATCTTTATAATTTTAATGCCAAATTAGAGTTTTGACCCCAGTTTCACGGTCCACTGAACATAGAAAATGATAGTGCGAGCAGGGCATCCGTGTACTATGGACACATTCTTGTTTCAATATATTTCCAGTGTTATAATAATTTTGTTACACTGTTTCAATTTTTTCATATTTTTCTAGATCTCTGTTCCTTTTTCCTTAAGCTTCTTTTTTCTTCTTAACAAGCCTAATATGTAATGTTCTTGTTGCCCCCAAGGTAGTCTATGTGTATATCTTTGACTTTTGTTCACTGATTTTGTTTTTGAAAAATCAAATCATAACTAAATATATATGTACAGTAATGAGTACTCATGATCCTACATACTGATTATTTATATTTTGGCATTGTACAAGGTCATGCGTTACTCATAAATATAAGAAGCTGTGGTATGAGTGCCAACGAGACAACTCTCCATCCAAGTCAAAATTTATAAAAGTAAACCATTATAGGTCAAAGTACGGTCTTCAACACGGAGCCTTGGCTCACACCGAACAGTAAGCTATAAAGGGCCCCAAAAATTACTAGTGTAAAACCATTCAAACGGGAAAACCAACTGTCTAATCTATATAAAAAACGAGAAACGAGAAACACTTATGAACCACATCAACAAACGACAACTACTGAACATCAGATTCCTGACTTAGGACAGGTGCAAACAAATGCAGCGGGTTTAAACGTTTTAATGGTACCAAACCTTCACCCTTTTTAAGCCAGTTTATGATGTCTTTACACTTCGATGTGTACTGATTGATACCTTTAAGTCTTGGAAAATATTAGACTATGTGCTAAGGACTCATCCTTGCTTAGTGATTCTATTAGATGGTTTATGATATTGGAAGTTTAGTCTTGTGATTCTTTTTTAAATTTGTATTTATTTTAAAATTCTTTTCTCATTCCGACTACAAAATGTGCTGTTGTGTCCTTTTCAACGTGTAATGACTTATTCTTGGAGTAACTTTGCTGTAGAATACGCACGACTGTGCTGTTCGAAAAAAATTTCTCTTCGTAAAACCGTGGAACCGCTTCGAGATATTTCATACTGTACAAAGTAAATACTTTCTTGTAATAATAAGTTTGGCTATAGATCAAAACACAGGAGGACATTTTCAAAACTTTTTTTATATTAAGTAGCGTACTTACAAAAATGGTTAATTCATTTAAATATAAACAAGTATTCATCTATCATAATGATTGTACATACAAACAAATGAAAAATGAAAAACTGTAAAACATGTAACGGTGAACGATATATACTGATTGTGTTGTACAATTTGATTTTGTGTTCCTTTTACTTGCTGCATCACAAAGAAAAAACAACTATTTGAACGAATTTCAAGGAATGGTAACAGATCGTCACTTTATAATAAAATTGTGTATCATTTGTAAACGAATCTCTAACTTGAAATGTATGATTTAACCTACGACATTTGTATTATTTATGCATCTTAGCATAGTTGCAGAGTTATCTAATTTTATTAAAATTCTCCCTTATAAAAAAATAATTAGTTCCGCAATAACTTAAAACATATTAATTATCAATATATACTTATGCATGTAACTCCATTTGTAAATGTAATTTTTAACAAACAAAATAGTTGGTATTTTATGTTAGAGTTATCTCTCTTCCTCCCAGGTATCCGGCTTGTATCCTACACGTTGATGTTAATATTGACCCAGTAACTGCAAAAATTGGTAAACAGTAATCAAATTCCCGTCGTGATCCACTTTACATGTCTATGAATTTAACTATAATAGTAGATTTTACATTTTTACTTCATAATTTCATTAGATTAAAATAGGATGTGGAGTATACGTCACTGAGACAGCAACCCTACATCACAACTAACCAAAAGACATCAGTGGTCAACATACAGTCTTTAACATAAGAAAGATTTCTATTAAATATATTAAGTCATAAATCGTCGGTGTTTAAAAATGTGAGATAAGTAAAGTCTGTCTTTAATATAGGACAAGTGTCTATTAGATATAACAAGTTACAAACCGCCCGTGTTTTAAAAAGTTGTGAACTCGGAAATGTTATCGTGCATAGATATAGAAGACATTTCCTCAAATATAGTATGGTAGATTTTAGCCGACAAAGTCTGAAGTTTTAAGAAGTTTATTAAATTTCAGATTAAAACAGATAGTTTTTTTCTCGCAAAATGCGTATTTTGGAGCAGTTTTAAAATACAAAAATCCTGCTCCATCACACAAATAAAACTAACCACTAAGATTCATAACAAGTAATACTAAAATATTCTCGTCTTACGAGACTTTAAATTTATTTTTTTACTGAAAATGGCTACTGGATTTTTAGTGATCCGAAAAGCCAAATTCACAATAATTTAATTCATTTTATATATATATATATGTGATATATATAAAACTAAATAGTATTTTTAACAAACCAATGACAATCAGTTGTCAATAAATATATATACGATAAGATTATATAGTGTGTACTAATTACATATATATTCTCGGCAACAACGTTTACAGGGATTGGGATGTGTGTTAATGCAAAATCACTGAAACCAAAGCTGAACACATAAACAACAAAAGTAATGATATTTAAATTTGATATAAATTTGTCACCACTGTATATGTTTGATATGATTTCATTATATAAACACAAAACTACCTCATTTCTAAACATTCTATCTTCGTAATTCATTCATTGCATAAATATCATAATTCCCCAATTCTCGTCAAGTCTCGGAGAACACAATCCTTATCACTGTTGATATTATATGTAAATTTAATCCACCATGAATAGCTCTCCGTCGATTCCATCGTTCTTAAAATGAATAAAACTAATAAATCATTACATTATACTGGTGTGGTACGTCTTAATATTTGTTCTGGAGGAGGCGGAGGCATAGGTAAATGATCATGGTGGTCACGTGGTAAATGTGTGTCTACAGTTGTGGAAATAGTGTTTCTTGAACTTTCTCTAGGAAATGTATAATTTGATAGCTCGTGTGACGTTGTATCTGATATAGGCGTGTACGTATAATAACTTTCGGATCTACTCATTGACGCATCTCGCGAACGCTCGCGAGAATGTGATCTATCGCGATTTTGATTAGGTGCGCGTCTATGACGCCATCTATTTCCTTTATCATTGCATTCTACTTTCAACATCTGTTGCATTTTCTTTCGTTGTGAGTGTTTATATCTAGTTATATATAAATATACTGAAAATACACCTGCTAATTCAGTCAAACCAAACGAACATACTGCCATCATAAATGACGATCCGTATTTATAGATAAACTTTTTATCTTCCATTGGGTTTTGAGGCCCTTTATTTCCTACTTCTTCTGTTATACTGCCTATATAAAGAATAATTCCTACTAGTGTGCAGAGTCCTGAAAATACAAAAGTTAAAGTAAGTTTATTGTTATTGTATTTATTTTTATTTTTACAAAATAGCACACCAATACAACGTTCACTGACATCTACAAACCTTCTTTCCTTTTAGGAAAGTTTCACTGAGGACAGACCTTAAAGTATCGAAATACCCTAGTAAATTAATCAGAACAAAGTATATAGGTGTATTTTATTAGATGGAGTGAAGTATGTGTACCGTGGTTGTGATGGCACAGGGGCTCGGTAACCCTACATTTTTGTAATCATTATATAATATATTCTTATTTCCAGTCCTTTTTGCAAAATAATGACCGTTGACCACCAATATTTATACGTGTATAATCATTGTACGGTGTTCTATTCAGGATACGGGTATGTATAGTGTACTGTAAATTGTATCCAATGACCTTGTGTAAAAGTACTACTTTTACGGATGCAGACTGCAAAGTGAAAAGTTCCCATTATATTATATCTGTAGTGCATATCACGTGTCATCCTCCGCAAAATATATGTGCCACCCTCCACTTAATATATGTGCCACCCTCCACTTAATATCATGTGACGCCCTCCACTTAATAGCATGTGACGCCCTCCATTCAATATCATGTACCACTCCCAACTCAATATGAAAATAAGGAGATGTGGTATGATTCCCAAAGGAGACAATGTCTTGATTTAATATTTTTTATTCTAACAACACGATTACGGGTTTATTAAAGGAGTCACACGTACTATTAAACACACACCCAAAACATTCGATTAAAATGACATTATTATATTAAAACGTAAATCGTAAAACGTACACCACACCTAAACAAATTGATTACTTTCTGAAAATAGGTTAATTGAGTTGTTGTCTTATTGACGTTTATACCCATATTTTCCTATCATTTCTACGTTTTAAGCTTTGTTCTTATGTTATTTGTTTTTTTGTTTTTTAGTTTCTATTTCGTCCGGCGACTCCTTGAGCAATTCCGCTTAAACGCAATTACGTGTCTTTATGTGATAGAAAGATTGTTTTTGTTATTTATCATTTTATTTGTTTAGTGGTGGCATTGTCAATTTATAAACAGCATTGAGAGGCATGTCCGGTTTCATCATTCTAAGAAACAATTGACTTAAATGAGAATTGCTAAATACTACTCATCCCACTTGCATGAAGCTCGATGGGATTGGTAACTACTTTGGAATCAGGGAAAAAATCATTAACCTTTAGCATTGTAATGTGACACCAGAAAAAAATAATATTTGCAGTATAGTCAAAAACATACGACAGAGACAAATAATGAAGAACTATATTGACTAGATATCCATTTGACTCTTATTATTTGGATTTATATCGTAATAATCTTTATTGCCATATAAACAAATTAAAAATGTTCGTGACAAAAACATATATAAATATATGCCAATGCAATATAAATTGAACATGAATCATTAATGCAGTCAAGAAATATATATACAAAAAAAAACACATGAAAAATTAAGCTGCTTCTGTCCTCAGTTCTATTGACTGTTTAAAAAAAATAGCCGATTAGTTTCACATGCTCTGCTGATATAGGGTTTAATAATTCATTAATTTTTTGGAAGCGACATAAATTCGTCTTCCCATTTTTTAAGATCCAATCTTAATACGACATTTATATGACACTCCAAGAGGAAATGTTCCTCCATTTCAAGAACATTACATAGCTTGCAAAGTCTATCTTCTCGAGGGAGTTTTGATTATCTACTCTTTTCAATTTCAAGATTGTGGTCACTTATACGGAGTTTTGGTATCGATTAACTTATTTCTAGTTATAAACAGTAATGTTATTATTATTAATCTTTCAATTTTTGTATTGGATTTCTGAACAGCAAGAGCTATGGTTACCTCCCTTGTATTTTTTTTCGTTTCCAGAATTGATTCAGTGATAACCAAAGTTAACAGTATCAATGCTACACATATTTAAAGGGGTGACAAGATTATGTTGTACATGTTTATCTGAAAATTTTATCAAATACTTACTCAACGATAACTGATGGCATAAGACAATATTTTTCAGATATGTTGATGATTTTTAAGTTTTTGAATATTTTAGACAATTCCAAAACCATCGATAATATTACAATTAAATTTATCTAAAATTGTCTTTTAAATAGAATTAGATTTATTTTGGTTCCAGATATCATTCAATACAAAACTCTATAAAACACAATTCGGCAATATTTTCAATCTTTTATAAAAGTTGCCCTTAAAGACGGATAATATCTGAGTTCTATAAATCTCTCAATCAAAATATCCAATCTTAATACTGCCACGTGTAACATCAACAGCCAACTCTATAAATGTATCAAATACAGGTGACATGTAGCCTCCCTATCGGCTTCCGGTATTGCACAGGGCACATTTTCTAAACTTTCATGCCGTTTCTGTATGAAACCTACTTGGAAGATTAGCAACTGATATTAAACCCTTTATAAAGTATTGTGTAGTATTGTTTTGATTGTTGCAGTGTTTTTGTATAGCGATATGATTGAGTAACGTACTTTATGTGAGTTTTTTTGTATTATGCGTTCACTATTCTATCTCTTGTGAAACGTATACCAAAATAAATATAACTAAATTGGGACAGGAGTGGGGGGAGAACTCACAAGATAATAAATCCTAACAGAAGTTAACATGCATGTCCAAAGTTAGGAATTTGATTAACTTTAATGTTTTTGCCCATTCAGGAATTTGATGTCAATGGCAGATCATCAGAATTCTTTATACTCTGGAGCGCCCCTAACATCAAATCCTGGATCCACGCCTGTCTACTAATTCTTTCGAATTACATGAGTTCACTATTTGTTTTTTTTATTTTTGTTGGGCTTACGCTACTCGGTCCTCCATGTAGTGGTTTGTTTTGTTCGTAATTTTTTTCTTTTGGTCTTTCTAATGTCCGTCCTTCAACGACACGCTTTTTATCGTCCCATTGCATCATCTTATATCTTGTTTGTCTAGATTTTGTGCGAATTAATCAAGACTTTGTGCGAATTAGTCTATGCTTTGGGCGAATTAGTCTAGACTTTGGGCGAATTAGTCTAGACTTTGGGCGAATTAGTCTAGTTTTGGGCGAATTGAAGCTTTACATATGATAAAGATAACATAGTTAATCAAATCTTGTTTCCTTGAACAAATTAAATGAAACATTGTTTCTTGAACATTTTTTCTTTTATCAGTTTTCTTTTGCTCATAGCATTTGTGATTTTATATATTTGCCTTATTTTATACTACATTTTTATTCAATTTCACTATAACTCATAGTTTTTTACACAACCTTGTTTTCTTGAATTCTAGTATATAGTTTTGTCACGATAGTACAATCCTTGTTTACTTTCACCATAAGTAGTCCAATACTTTTCACATTTCGGACTTTCAAACAATTTAGACTCCATCATCATTGAATAGGCTTTTCTCAGAATAACGTTTCTGATACTTCAAAATTGGAACAAAATATTGCCTTATCACTATGATTAAAAAAGAATTGTCACTCTTGAGCATAATTACTGTACTTATTTGTATAGCGGAATTGGGGAAACTTCCTATAGAATATTATATTTAAACACAAACTTTATTATATTTAAAGAGATTTGAATGTTGTAAGTTAAATCCTATTTTGAAAGAAGCTTACATGCTAAGTAAAATTTTAGACACGGAAGGAGTCTACTCCTGGTTTACCTATGTAAAAAATATTCTATGTGAATGTAATTTAGATATAACACAAATACATAGACAATAGATATAAGAAGATGTGGTATGAGTGCCAATGAGACAACTCTCCATCCAAGTAAAAATTTATAAAAGTAAACCACTATAGGTCACAGTACGGTCTTCAACACGGAGCCTTGGCTCACACCGAACCGTAAGCTATAAAGGGCACCAAAAAATTACTAGTGTAAAACCATTCAAATGGGAAAACCAACGGTATAATCTATATAAAAAACGAGAAACGAGAAACACTTATGAACCACATCAACAAACGACAACTACTGAACATCAGATTCCTGACTTAGGACAGGTGCAAACAAATGCAACGGGTTTAAACGTTTTAATGGTACCAAACCTTCACCCTTTTTCTGAAACAATAGTGTAACATCACAACATAGAAAGACACACTAACTGTTTAGTGTCTTTAGATATCAGCTGTATTTGAACGAGGCTAAGAAACAGGTGTAATGCGAGCTTCAGCGAGCCATTACTCCTGTTTCGAGCCGAGTACAAATACAGCTGATATTTAAAAGCACTAAACAGTTATTGTCTTTATGTTCAATTAATTTTGTATATTTTTTTCCCATCCCAATCGTAGAATTTGTTTTTAAAAGAAATCGACATGACTTAAACGCGGACCGCAATGAGAACAACAAATTGAACTGTGACGTAAACAGTAATTTGACATAACCGTTCGCTCGCAACAGAAGCAGGATACCAGGAGACTATATACGTCTAGTATACGTATATTGCTTCGTGTTATCTGTACACCTGGAGTCAATTTCACAAAAAAACATACGACTAAGATTGATCGCAAGTCATGAACAATTCAGTATACTTACGATCAATCTTAGTCGTAAGTTTTTTTTTGTGAAAGCGACTCCTGGAGTCAATTTCACAAAAAAAAAAACATACGACTAAGATTGATCGTAAGTCATCAAGAATTCAGTATACTTACGATCAATCTTAGTCGTAAGTTTTTTTTGTTTGTGAAACCTACTCCTGGAGTCAATTTCACAAAAAAACATACAACTAAGATTGATCGTAAGTCATGAAAAATTCAGTATACTTACGATCAATCTAAATCGTAAGTTTTTTTTGTGAAACCGACTCCTGGAGTCAATTTCACAAAAAAAACATACGACTAAGAATGACCGTAAGTCATGAACAATTCAGTATACTTACGATCAATCTTAGTCATAAGTTTTTTTGTGAAACCGACTCCTGTATTAGTATAGTAGAAAGTACGACTGCAGGATATAACAAAATTTTAGTTCAGACCTAAATATAAATAATTCATTTAAAGGTTATATAAAAACAAGCTCTAAAAACTACTTTGAAAAATTGATTCATAATACGATGCCAAAAAATGATGAAGAAAGTAAACTTTATCTATATAAGAACCTTAAATCAAATTTTTTTTTGTTTTTTTTTATTGATATTGATAACCTCAGACACATACAGGCGTACAAGCGGACAATATATTTACAAACATAAGATAATACATAGCGAGACAGGACAGAAAAAAACACAAATACATAGTATGTTATAAGAGACAATTGATATAATTAGTTAAAGTATTTCATAATTTTCTTTACGAAAATTTATAATTTCTTTTGTACTTGTACGTTACATAAAGACAGCAGACCGGTAAATTTGTTCTTGCTTGGGTTCATTTACATAATAATTTGGTATAAACTTTGATCTAAGAGCAGAAACATCAGCATTTTTACAGGTAAACAATCATTTATATATGAAACTCATCACCTATTCCCTCATTACATAATGTACATATTCTATTTTCCCTCGTAATCCCCGCCCATCTCCCCGTCTCAATAGGTAACTTCAAATTCGAACATCGAAGTTTAGAAATATAATATCTGTCCCTAGGTAATAATCGTAATAAATATGGTTCCAAACAAAACTCAAGTTTAAATAAAGAATTTATTATAGTATTCCCCCCTGGATGCATTATGTATCTGTGAGAACCAATGCTGATAGTACTGATCTGTTAATCTCTGTTTAACCATACTCTTTAACCAATCATTATTTACAATTAACTGATCGTTCCATATAAAACTAAGACCTGTATCATCAAAAATAGATTTTACATATTGAATCCATTTAAATTTGGTAGGATTCGTTCCATGAAATTTAATCATAAGTCTTAGAAGGATATTTGACAGTTTGCTCTCTTCTTTAATAGTTCTGCACCAAAATGATGCCATCCTAAGTTTTATAGAGATATCCAAAGGAACCCGACCTAAAATAAAATTTGGTGTACTATTCCGAACACCAAGAATATTTTTACAGAACTGCAGATGCATTTTCTCAATATTCTGCTTATTTTCAAACCCCCAAACCTCTGATGAATATAATAATATAGGTGCGATTACAGCATCGAAAAGTTGTAACTGAATATCAATAGGTAATGATATATGTTTTATCTTTCTGTAGAGAGCAAACATTGCTTTTTGTGCTTGATCAAAAATCCCTTTTCTAGCAGTACAAAAATTACCGTTGTAATTAAAAGTTATTCCTAAATAATTGTAAGAATCTACAACTTCTATAGCATTACCGTATACATGAAAATCAAATTTATGTTGTACCTTTCTCTTGCTAAACACAACAATTTTTGTTTTATCTATATTGACTTGGAGTTTCCATATGTTACAATTTTGTTCAAAAACATCAAGTGCATGTTGTAGTTCTTCCTTACTATCCAACATAATAACCGTGTCATCTGCGTACAGAATGACAAAGATTCTAACTAATACTTGTAACAATTCTTCACAGTTTTTTGATATAAATTCTAAATCTTTTACATCATTTTCCACAAAAAAGCTTTCTAAATCATTTAAAAACACCGAAAACAAAAACGGTGATAAATTTTCACCCTGCCTAACACCAACTCCACAATTGAAGAAAGTTGAACTTTGGTTACCATATCGAATACATGTCTTTATATTTTAATACATATATTATAGATAACTGTAAAAATTTTCCCAGTAATGTGAGATTTTTGTAACTTTTTCCATAACCCTGTTCTCCAAACAGTGTCAAATGCTCTCTTGAAATCCACAAAAGTGCAAAATAATTTTTTGCCCATCGAAAAAAATATAGATAAAATTGAATGCAGCACAAAATATTATCGGTAGTTGAAAATCCTTTTCTAAATCCAGCCTGAGATTCTGATATAAGTTCAACTTTATCTGAGAAACTATTTAATCTCTCATTTATTATTGATGAAAAAGTCTTTCCTAAACAAGGGTTTAATGTTACACCTCTATAATTTGCATGGTCTGCTTTGGAACCTTTATTCTTAAAAATAGGAATCATTATATTGAAGACTATTTAAGAACACCAAACTTTACATATAGAAAATTAATACCAAATCTAAGAATTAGTGACCATATTTTAAATATAGAAAAAGGAAGACATTCTTATATTCCTAGAGAGTTTATATTATGCTTTAAATGTAACATATTAGAAGATGAAAAACATTTTTTATTAGATTGTGAATTAAAAAGGGAACTGAGAAACAACTTTTTGATAATTTTGAATTAAACTTTTCTGTTATAAGATTTGTCTGATGAAGAAAAAAGGTGATTTTTATGCTCAATTCATCAACACGATCACAAGTAAATAAATTGGAGTCCTACATCAAAAAGTCATTAGAACTGAGGACAGTGGACACTGGACTATTTACTGTTATGAAATGAATGTGTATATATATGTGAAGTTCGGTTATATTGTTGACTTATTTTGTATTTGTCACAAACTTATTTTTTTAAAGTTTATATGGCAATAAATATTTGAATTTGAATTTGAATTTGTATAGCTAATGTTACTGTTTAATGATGAACCATAGTAGTTTTAAGTCCGACGCTTATCCTGTCGACTTATCCGTTTGTTCCTTTTTGTGGTTTATTAATGAGATTAGAACATCTGTTCACTAATGTTACGAAAACTTAGCATTAACCTAATAAGTACACATACCTGCTAATACAAATAAAATTCCACATACAAATGTTAGATGTTTTCTCCTCGTGTTGCACTGTCCAACGAAACATATCACGATTCCTATTGTTAATATTAATAAACTAGCTAAAGGAAACCATGTTGATCGTCGCATAGTTACTGAAAATATAAAACGTATGATTTCAAATTTATGGCAGTCTTTGCAAACAAAGTTTGAAAAGGCAAAACAATAGAAGAAACCTAAATAATTACGGTTTACATTAAGTATATTAAGAAAATAATATATTCTTACGTAAAAGATACAACCATGACAATCTGGGTCGACCAATTGTTTCACCAGATAATCATTCAACAGAACAGATATATGCCTATCACGTAAGAACCTCACGTTAAAGAACTCCCCTCTTATAATCAAGATACTAATGGTTACTTAAAGAAAATGGATAGCCTAAATCCTTTTCCAAACAATACTCGTATCAATGGATGTGTTTTCTTTATGTTCAAATATTCCACAGGGCGTAACTATAGCAACTTGTGCAGAGGTATAGACGACACTAGTATGGGCACATCTACACACTACTCCCAGGCAGTTGAAAATATGCTCAACTGAAAATAAGCAAAATGCTAGACTTGGACAAGTACGCAAACATCTAGTTGTTCGAGAATACGATAACAACAATATAGATAAAGCTTCCGAAAAAACAAATATAATTGACCGCTAATACCTTCTGGAGTACAGATATAAGAATCAAGAAACCAACAGAACAACTCTTGTCATTCTGATTTCAGAAATATATCATCCATCGTTCGAAAGAATTTGAAATATATAGAGAAAAACTTCAATATGAAAAAAGTATTTTCCTCACCACCAGTCATGACCTTCAGAAGACAAAAACATAAGTAACAAATAAACAAATTAGTAACCGCATTTACAAAGCAACCTACTTCATCTCCTGGTTGCTATACATAATGTGAAAGAAGGAATTATTTACTTTGTAAACTACCAATACTAGCAGTTTTTTTTCGATTCATCAGCTCCTTTAGAAAGCAAAGTTATACCATCTACGCAAGTTCCAACTGTAAAACGGAGAACTCAATATTAACATTTAACACTTAAGGCATTCAGCACGTGGAAGAAACAATGAACACATTTAACATTCGGCTAAATAACCATCGATCATGGTACAAAACTAACAAACACTTTCCCTTCATAAGACATATTCACTCAAGGGAAAATCCTTTTGAAAACGCCACTTCAGTAGGACACTGTAGTGAGGAGACGATACAAATTTTTGACTAACCATCTCAATACTTAAAAAAAACCTGATGGTCTAAATGAAAACGATGATAAAAGATACATGAAAGATAAAGATTAGCTTATTATGTGGCATCGTCCTCAGTATCTTTGTAATATTGCCCACTTACCTAACTAGGATGAAAAATTTTGTCCTGCCTTTTTATTTTTCCCTCTATTCGGTCCTGCCTTTTTATTTTTCACTCTATTCGGTCCTGCCTTTTTTTTTTTAGTTTATCTTGACTTTTTTTTTTTTATATAAATTGTCATCCTGTCTTTTTTTTTTTTGCAAATAATCTCATCCTGCCTTTTTTTTTATTCAAAACTCCTGTCCTGCCTATTTTTTCAAATTTCATCCTAGACGTTCTTTAACATAACCCTGGTTCATCACCTTTGTGCTCAGACACTCGTGATAGCGAGGTTTAACCCTTCTTCGTATTTTCTAATGAAGTACAGATGTGTGAAAAATTAATAAACATGTTACGGATACTTACACAAAATTGCTTGTGTAGGTGCAAGTCCTTCCTTTTCGTCGTCAACAGTAAAATATTTTATATATTCACACTTTAAACTATTTGGACCATGCCCTGAAAAGTAAAATATATAATGAGTTCTTATTCTCAAGAAAATTTGGACATTCTAGAGTTTTGTTATAAAATTTTGGTACCATACAATCAATGTTTTACAAATACATGAAAGATGAAAAATTACAAATAAAAGTAACTTTAGAGTAAAAAAAACTCATCGGTTTTTCCCTTTTCGCCGGTAACTAATATAAGCTTATATAAAAACGAGTTTTATATACAATCATTAAATTATCATTGAAAAGGACGTAAAATGTTAATTGTTCTAAGCGTCATTTATGAGAATACGTAGACTGCACAGCATCATTTACAATGTCAGAAGTTGGAATACTGAATTGGTCATCAATAATATCCAATACATTTAAACAACTACAGAGTTGTGCATGCTTTCCCAAAACTCTCAAGAATTAATTCTTTCTAGGCCTTTTCATGTTTAAATAATCTTATGTTTTAATATATACTGTGATATAATCCTTGTAACGATCTTTAATCCAGTCAGTACTGTGATATAATCCTTGTAACGATCTTTAATCCAGTCAGTACTGTGATATAATCCTTGTAACGATCTTTAATCCAGTCAGTACTGTGATATAATCCTTGTAACGATCTTTAATCCAGTCAGTACTGTGATATAATCCTTGTAACGATCTTTAATCCAGTCAGTACTGTGATATAATCCTTGTAACGATCTTTAATCCAGTCAGAATAATGTTGTCTACAGTGGTCCTTAATATTATCATAAATATGAGCAAACAGTATCTACAATGATTGGTCAACGTAAATCATCTCTAGTTCTGTGTATCACATTGCAATCATATTTGCATAGTTTTGACGTGATTTCACCAAGATGACCATTTACTTAATGTTCAAACTAAGTAAAGGCAACCATTTTGATACATTAACTATCAACTTAGGTCGATATATCAACGTGTTTATGAAAAAACCTGTGCTGTCACTTGTTATATTCAGTCTAGACAGTAAGATGTTGCTCAAAATGTTTAGATAAATTTTATAGACACAATTTTATAATGGGAAGCGATTAATTACAGGGTGAATCCTGGGAAAATTCGAAGAAGTTACATATTCCTCAATAAATCTAGCAACCATCAGTTTAGTTCACGAATAAAGTTCATTTAATATGCACGCTTGTTTTCACTAATGACTCTATCAGACTGGGTTTCGCTAAAGCAGTGCAAAAGATGAAAAATGGTTAATGGTTACCAGATTCTTTTAATCAACTTACAGAGTGATGATTAGTCTACATAGTATTAAGAAAAGCAAAACTACTAAATGTTTTGTGACCAAAACTCTTTTTTGACTTATTTCTATTCATCCATGAGAGCTAAACCGAGATAAAATCAATTTGGAAATTCCTTCTATAACTTAAGTCATACACACGTGACGCTAACACATTTACCGATAACAAACTCATTAAAGATACAACGCTTATAATTTTACGATAAAACCGTTGATATTTTATCTTTCGATGAGCACACCCTATTACCGACTATCGAACACACCCAAATACCGGCTATCGAACACACTCTAGTACCGGCTATCACCACGACATTTAAAATTTATAGCAAGTGTTTTCCTATCGTATACAACAGATGTTTGTCTGGCGTTCGAATTGCCAAAAGTGTAACTTTCATTCATGACAAAGCCCTATATATGGTAGTATTGACTCAATTATTGAAATAAATCTATTGAATGAACTCAAGAAACAGTTTATGTTCAGTCTCAGTTTATTAACATCAGTTATAATGAACAGATGTTTTTCAATGATTTCCCTCAAATAACATTTTCTTGAAATGAAACATTTTACCAATGCGATACTACACGATAGAACGATGGCATTGAATAAATGGTCGTGGCTGGCTCACAGAATTAAGTGATTATGGCAGGCGCACAGAATCGAGTAAGTGATTGTGGCAGGCGCACGAAATATACGTTCATCTTTATATGGTCAAGTGTATAATTTTTAAAGTCATACATGTATTTACTTCTTGATTGCAGGAATTTTTAATTCGATTCTATTTCCCCGTAAAATAATACTTTCATGAATTTTTACCCGGTTTCTAATGGTACCGTTAAATATTGTGTTTAGAAATAATTCATCAATCAAATTCCTTTGTACGTATAATAATATATCGATAATGACACATGAACCTCGGCAAAAATCCTAATCATAGTTATTACTTTTAATTACGTTTTTCAGACTAGTTAATGTCCAACAAGGCTTCAAATTATTATCTTACGGTAGTGAAACACGAGGACAAAGGCACTTACAGCAAGGAACAATTGCAAGAACTTTATAAGACTGTTAATAGTAAAACATCTTTGAATATCTAAACCTACTATGGATAATTAATTTTAGAATAATGGGATGTTTGGATATTTGACATCCATACATATAGAGCAAAATTGTGTACAGTTCATAAAGTGTCTGAACGTATTTTGTTTTATATATAAATATATATATGGAGGTTTTAATGTCAAACAAAAAATATATAAATGAGATTTGTACCATAGTTTTTTGTCTGCTTCTCAGTTTTATTTTTTCAATTCACATGTACTACATGTCAACGATGATAACATGACATGATTGGTTCAATAGTATTATTAGTATCAAGTTATTCTCTGTTAATACCAACAGCTATTGTCTGAGAAATGTGTTATTTGTCGAATGTTGATAACAAGATAAATGAAAGGAAACAAGAACAGAAAAATAAAAGACATAAACAAAAGAGTATGAAAGAAAAAACTTTTAAAATCAAACACTTTGACCTGCAGTTCTAGTTGACCTTAGTGTTTATTGGGACTATAACATAAACATAACACATTTGACAGTTTTATTAGGATTGGAAAACAAGTGGATTTTCACTTTTACAAACGCCTCTCTTAGTTTACCTATCGAGATCCCACTAAGTAATATTATCTTCCCTTGGACACTTTATATGTTTGGTCGTTTTTATACCGTATGAAGCTGTGCTTATACAATGGTCTACTTGACGGAAGGACAGGGTCTCATTTCTTAAAAGTAGAAATTTCATTTGATGAGGGATTTTATAACTAGTAATGCTTACACATGCCGTAACTAAACTGAACTAAACTCTACCAAAATAAATTCATGAAATTGAAAATGCCATTTTTATCAAAATAAAGACCTGCAGTAAAACTGCTCCTTTTTGATAAAGTTTAATGTTTGATTTATCAGGTTTTATGGACTTCCCTCTTTTTGAATTTACCTTAGATTTCGGTATTTTTTGTTAATACTTTTTTATATTCTATCTAATACTTTGTTTATATTTCACCATATGTAACATATACGTGTTTTAGTTCAAGTACCATCTTTCATCGATAGATGAAAACTCATTTTAAAGAAAGGAAAAGATAAAAAGGAAACGCGGATTTTCGAAGGATTAGTAGAACAGCTTCTGAGCGTCTTTACATGATTGTCACAAGAAGCTTTAAGTCATCATCAGGGATTTCTATAATATCGATTTTTAAAAATATCAAAACAAAAAGAAAGAACTAAATATCTAATTGCACTTTTATTCCACGTGATCTCACATAGAGTTTATGGACACACATTATATGCCTGGTCGGTTGTAATAACGGACATTATTCCGCAAGCACTATACGCCCACTTGTTTTAATATAGTTGAGGAAAATTGTAATTTACAGAAAATAACAAATATATAAGATGAACAATAAGACTGTTTTGAACACTAATCTCATTGCACCCTTGATGAGTAGGATTTGCATCGTAACTCGGCTGCATTCTAGATCATTTTACTAACGACTTGTTGCAAAAGTTCAAACATTTCTCCTTGGAGAATTTCACTATCAGTGTTGCTGTTGGTATTATCTACTAATTCAGATAAAATAAGAGATTCTAACTCGTTCTAAGATAAGATATAAAGAAAAAATACAGTTTGTTTTGATTTTTTGTTTTCTAGAGCAGTAGCATCAAATCAATAGCTGTTGCTTTCCTAGCTACATTCGATTGCGTGTCAACTGTTATGAAGAAAACAAAGAGGTTAATTTTAAAATCAGGAGTCAACATACTATATAGTTTATGAAAATATTGTAATCCTTGTTGTTTAATACAATGCTATTCTTTTTCAAAAAAATATATTTAATATGACAGCCGATTGGTTATATAGACAATAACTGTTTAGTGTCTTTAAATATCAGCTGTATTTGTACGAGACTAAGAAACAAGTGTAATGCGAGCTTCAGCGAGCTATTACTCCTGTTTCGAGCCGAGTAAAAATACAGCTGATATTTAAAGACACTAAACAGTTATTGTCTTTATCCTGCAATTAAATTGTACATTTTTTTTTCAATCCCAATCGTTGAATTTGTTTTTGAAAGAAATCGACAAGACTTAAACGCGGACCGCAATGAGGACCCCAAATTGAACTGTGACGTAAACAGTAATTTGACATAACCGTTCGCTCGCAACAGAAGCAGGATACCAGGAGACTATATAAGTCTAGTATACGTATATCGCTTCGTGTTATCTGTACACCTGTATTAGTATAATAGAAAGGTCGATTGCAGGATAAAAGTGACTATGACGGTACTGCATTGATACTGATTTTTTAATCTAGCACCTGCCTTAGAGGCAAGGAGCCTGGATCTGAGTAGTAGGCCTGGTTATAGACAAGAATTAATATCAATAAACTCATCATAGATACCAGGCTTAATTTTTTCAAGCCAGACGCGCGTTTCGTCTACAAAAGACACATCAGTGACGCTTGGATAAAAAAAGTCAAAAAGGCCAAATAAAGTACGTATTCTATACATAAATCAGGCCGTTAGTTTTCTCGTTTGAATTGTTTTACATTTGTTATTTCGGGGCCTTTTATAGCTGACTATGCGGTATGGGTTTTACTCGTTGTTGAAGGCCGTACGGTGACCTATAATTGTTAATTTCTGTGTCATTTGGTCTCTTGTGGAGAGTTGTCTCATTGCCAATCATACCACATCTTCTT